AATATCGAAAGAATATGCAAAAGCCATTTCAGTTATGCTCCGTCACACATTAAGCTCGTTCCGCGTGACTATTTCACCATCGTTACATATAATATCACAATCAGCATATTCGCGCTTTAATCCTAAAATACTACTCAGGGAACACATTTTCCAGCCGATGGAAGAGATAGAACGTAAATTAGCACGCGTTCTGAAGTCCATAGTTGAAAGGGGCTTTTTGACATTAAGCATGGCTTGGAGAAAAATGCGTTATATAGAAATGGACTTACTTTGAAAGAGATGAAACTGATTTGAAAGAATAAATGGATTGTTTTTGATTTATATACAAATTCCAGTTACTTTTTACCGAAGTAGTATTTCCAGGATGTCTTAAAAAATATTTTTCCTGGAATCAATGTACATATAATGTGCAGGAAAGTTTATGCAAATATTGCTATCACTCCGAAGTTGATCAATTGATGTAAATTCTAAAAGGCTTGCGCCCGCTGTGGTTCATCTAATTGCGTCTTTTCACACATCAAGAACAAGTGTATCAAGTTTCGGTGACATATTTTAATTTCTCTATTTATGACATTTTTATTTCGCTGTAAGGTTCATTTTTTATTTATTGAAAAATGATTAAGTTTGTTACCATTCATAACCATTCATTTCACTGCTTCCAATTTTAGGTGACAGTTTTAAGAAAAAAGAAAGTGAGAGCTTCTTCCACATTTTTTTTTAACTTACCCATTGTGAAAATTATTTAACTTAATTCATTAATCATCATTACACAGTGAAAGTGTGATTGTTTCTATTGTTGTAGTAAATTGTAAACAATAGTGGGTGTGCTAAGTTTTTTATTCGAGCTTTTTTTCTTTTGTTTAAGCACCTTACTGCATATTCGGTGCATTCACTGTTGTGCCACCACAGCGACTTCACCTTTAACTTTTGCTAAATTCGTTGCGCAGGCGCAGTTGTTTTTGCCCATTACATCGACTGACCTCAGCAGCAAATAAATTTGTGTTGCCATTGTGTAGTAAGCTCCCACATTTAATGACAAAAAGAAGCAAACAAAATAATCTGCAAAAATTTACCATGCAAATTCGAAATAAATAAGTTTGTTGATTACATAGGCACTGCTTGTTGCTTTTACTTTATGTTGGAAGAAAAGTTTTTGTTATTGCAATCACTGTAATACTTATGCCGTTGTGCCGCTTCATTGATCGTTTGCTTCGATCGCTGTTGTTTCTGTTTAGCAAGCAGCGCTTTGGCTTTGTTTACATTTCATCTATTGTTGACCACAGTCAATACGAGTACAATGGCTTGGGCTCTGATCTCAAGTAGCTGATAAGGAGTGTTTATTTTGGAAGGGCAACCAGGTAAATAGAAAATTAGTTTTAATCGTATTCATACTATTACAGCAAACTAGTTTTTAAGAGGTTAATGATCTGTTGTAATGCTTTGTTTTTTCATTGCCAATGTGTAGAAAACGTTGAACACGCCCTGTAGGAAATGCTTAAGAGCGTAGTTTCATGAAAGTTCTTTTTTTCAACTGACAGTTCTTGCTTCCGCATAAAACACGCGTATGTGTGAGTGGTGCAGTATATTCACAATCCGTCGAAATTGCTCTGGTCGGTCTACAATGTCCTCAACTGAAGTAAACATTGCTAAGGCAAAGAGAAGCGTGACTCAGAGTCGTAATTTAAGTTTAAGGGGCACACCTAGGATGAAATCTCAAATAGCTTTTGGGTTATAGCAATTTAAAGAGCAGCCGTTCGGTAGCTAGAGAGTCTCATTAGCTACGAGTGAAAACGATCATTTTATTTTTAAACGCGTTTTTCTCGAAACAGCATTTTCCGAATTCGCTGCAGTGATTACTCAAAAACAAATGATCCGATCAATATCAAATTTTTTTTACATGTTCTATATATAGTTATCCGTACAATGACCTATCGATTTTTGATCTGATCAAAAAATCGAATTTTGGCAGGGCAAAAACGACCAAAATTTTGGGTAAAATTCGACTATTTTTTTTTAAACGTATGTCATTTTACAGACAATATTAGCTATTAGAGAATTTTTGTTTTTTAGATTTCATCCAAGGAGAAGGCCGGAATCATTGCAGCAGTGAGGGACCTGTTTTTTCGCAACGTTGGAGATCGACTATAATTTGAAAAATATTTAATTTTTTTCTTCAAAAATTTCACTGTATATTATTGAAACATCTATAAATATATTCTTAAAATGTTGAAATAATTGATAAAGTATTTTTTTTTTTTTTAAATTCTGTTCATGCAACACCAACTTTGCAATGCACGCCCTATTTAGATGCTTGTGTAACGATTTTAATAATTATTCCGTCAACACTGACTCTATTATCTACATCTGAAACTAAATACTTACTGAGAGTTAAATAAATATTTGATTTCCTATTTCCTCTATTTTTCCGTATGAGCAAATCTGTTGCTCTTCGGTGTTATAAGCGACTTATCGCTATCAGTCTCTTGTTCAGGTCAATCCGGATTGCCAATAGTTTTCGTTCGCCGGTCTGTTGTCGTTTTCGTCTATCCATGAGGCGCGTCCTTCACTTGGTTATTGCGAAGGTGAGTAGTGCTGCATTCGTCGTAAAAATATCATATGACAACTTATTTTTCTTCTTCATTGGAATTGCATCGCTTACTCGTTTAGAATTGAGTTTATAATAGAGCATCAACGGTCTTTTTTTTTTGCTAGCTGGCGTAGCCGATGTTTATTGACCACGCCACCGCAACATATGCCAGGACGGAAATGGTAAGGAACTTGCAGGGTTTGGTATTTGTTTGTTCAGAGAGGTCTTTGCATCATAGCCCAAAGTAACACCTATTGGCAAGAGTGATTCTGTGTTGGTCTTACTGCTGTTTCCAGGACGAAATTATTTACATGTCGTAGTCATGACTGTCAAGTATAGTTGTGTTTGTTTTTTGACGGAAAATATTTGTTTTAGACTTCGTACACAAACTCTTTAGCTACGCTTACTTACAAATTTTCGAAAATGTTTAACTAATGTTGCGGTTGTTCATGCAAATAATATCATTGGGCAGCAGTTATACATTATTCTAGAAAAGTTAACCTTTACTATTTGGGACTGCAACTGATATTTAATTCATCACTTTTAAATTAAATAAAATTGATGTAAAGTGCCTTCCGAACCTGATGAAGATTTTACTGTTCATCAGCGGCTTTTTGTACAGTCATATAAGCTTATTGAACAAGCACACCAATCTTCCAAACATCAGACTTGCACTTAAATATCTAATCAAATTTGGCAAGAAAAAGCTAATACTCTGACTTTGTCTGTTATGCGTTGCCATATCTTATAGCAACGTTGTGCTTCAGGCGGAAAACTGCTATCTGAACTTTCTCATAGATGCGTAAGGGACATCTATATAACTGTGATCGTTTAGAATTTCAGATTCACTAGCTATTCAGGAGACTTAATATAATCGAGGCAACGGATATCTAGTTAACTGTAAACTGTAAGCTGTCGGTTTTTCCTTCAGAATTTTCGAAAGTTAACACTGTCGACTTCTAAAGCCCTTCATATTCGCACATTTCGTCCTCTATCTTTTTACCGTTACCGTTGATCGCAGCGCGGTAAAGTAGGCTCTAATTTTTGTTTCCACTCCGGATGGTTAGAATCTACTTAACCTAGTAAAAACTAATCCTTTGATTCTGCTAAAACTGAAGGCTTTATATGACATAGTTAAGATTAACCGATTTATGTGAAATACATATGTACACGTATGTGCCGTTTTGCTCGGAAACTTTTTGCCATTCGGACGGTAATGTCTTTGTGCCGCTTTCATAGAAACTCTTGTTCCCATAAACAAGAAAAGCCTGCTGACCAAAACTGGACGCTTCTGGGCAATGGCTTCCATCAGACATACAACAAAACCTAGCTGGCAGTCAAATCTCACTTGGAGACTTTTTGACGTTATTCTAAGTGATTCCCTTTCAATTAAAAATCAGAAATGGATGGATTGTGCTACGAATCAAGAGGGAAGCTCGGCCGTGTGGTCCTTTTTCCAAGTGATTCCGAATTTCGCTCGCCTGATGACATTTTCGACAATTGCCCTTCGAAATTGATTAAACCAAAATTGTACATGATTAACGGTTGCAGTATTAGGACCGTAAAAACTATTCACATTTTCTTGTGCCTGACTTACGTTTTCCCCTTTACCGAAGAAAAATTGTTGAATACAGCGTATTTTCTGGTGTCCATTTTTGATATGCGCTCGCACACTGCTGATTCAAGTGATTCCATCATTTTTTACGTTTCTGATGTAAACTTTTATCTTTTTTTATTTTTATTTCTATTGTATTGTATATAAAATAAACATTCATTTGATTGGTAATTGAAAATTTTTGCTTTCATTCTGTACTTATTTATTTTATCATTAAATTTTGTTTATTATTATTTTTGTCATTTATCTCAGTCCATTGGGAATCTACGCTTAATGAAGGTCAGTAGTTTATGTAGCAAATGAAAATATATAGATTCACGTGGCTGCATCTGCATACTTGTATGTACATATTTATGTATATTTAGATGTTAATCGGAAAATTTCTCTTGCTATCTACGCATAAGTAAGTAAGTGGAAGTGAAGTTGTGTACAAGTTGTGAAGCTTGTACATATGTTTGACTGCAACCAAACAATGCCTTCGCGTGTCGACAAACATTTTGGCAAAAGCACGAACGTCACCAAAGACAAGTGGAGAAATGAATGTTTTCTTTAAACAATTTTGAGCGCACGAATGGCTAAACACATTGAATTGATGCAAATAATCAATCAGCAGTGGCAGCAGAGGCAGAAGCCGAAGCAGTTGAAGCAAAAGAAAGTGGGTGGAAAGAGCTAGTCTATGAAAGTGTTGCCAACACACATACACACACACACACATCCAAACACTCACACACACACATACTCACACCCACACACATACAACATGCACACATACTAAAGAGATAAAACACATTTCTGCTTAAGTAATTAGGTGATCATTTTCAATTGGCGGCCAGTAGCTGCTGACAACAACAACAATAAAGCCCAGCAAACGAATTGCGCCAAATCAGCAACGATGCTTGCAATTGTGCGCAAAAAAAAAAAATAAAAATAGACAACAACAGCGATTAGAAATAGAAAAGTAAGTGCTGTTAGCTAGCAATATATGCAACCAACACGCTCTAAAAACCTGGTGCATGCGAGGAAAAAGTTGGTGAATTCGAAAAAAGTCAGAAGCGCGGCAAAACGGACGCAGATCAGTCAGCAAAGAAAAGATACTAAGTGATTTGAGCAGCGGCTCTGGCAGACTAGGCAAGTGGGTCCAGCTTTGGCAGCAGCGGCAATAGCAGCTGCCACAACACATTAATTGTGGCAAGGTAAAGTGTATAAATTTGATTGGCACACAAGCGGCGCAGATCAGTTGCATTTTGTTGAAAGTTTGAAGAGGCTGTAATTGAATCGAATTGAGTAAATATTTCGTGCAACGGTTAAAATAAAATAAATAATTACACAAAAGAAAAGACCAAAGTATAAAAATAAATAAAAAATTCCCAGAAATTTCACTCTTCAAGGCAGCAGCCGCCACAAGGATATGCGGTAGGAGCTGAGCGCCAACAATAGCAACAACATTCATCTCAATTCATCATAAAAACTGCACCAGTGCCTGCTTAGAAAGAAGTCCCAAAGCGATGGATGCAAATTTAAGGCTTTTAGCCGCACTCATCCTGATTGCTTTGTGTCGACCAGCAACAGCCTTGGCCTCAGACATACACAGCAGCAATGAAAATGTCGCTCATATACACGCCGGTCGCAGCACGCTGCTCGACAATGGGCTGACCCGCACACTTAAACACATCTACGCCATCTGCGGCGATCGCGACGATCTCTTCTGGTGTTTCAAGGTGCAAGCAACGCGCATGTTGGGTCGCGCAGTCAAAGTGCAGAACATACAGCTTGTGGAGGGCGTGACGATTATCAAGAAAGTGGACAATGAAACGCGCACGGGACGTGCCAGCGCAAATGCCGAACCGAACCTAAGTAATCGCGATTTGGAGAATCTTTCCATGAAAAGTTTGGATGCGCTATTGCTCGAACGTTTCTTGCGTTTCATTGACAGCCGGCAGTTGCAGGTGAATTTACCACGTTTACTCAGTTTCGGTCAACGCAACGGGCACGATCTCTTTAGCGCCGTAATGGCGTACTTTCAACAATTCTCAAACGATGACTTGGCTGCCACTGGGGATAATGCTATCGAAGAGGGACGTAAGAAGAAGGGTGATGACAAAAAGTATTTGGGACCCTTTATTGCGGCCGTTATGTTGAAAACGGCTATACTCAAAATGGCCTACCACTCGATTGCGATTGTCGCTGGCAAAGCGCTGATCGTTGGTAAAATAGCGCTCATTATTAGCGCTATAATTGGACTCAAGAAGCTCGTCTCCTCGGAGGGTGGCGAAAAGACCACTTATGAAATTGTCAAACACCCACAGGTGCAACACAGTCAAACCTATTCATCGAGTCATGCCGGCGAGTACGAGGCGGGGCATGAGGGCGGCTCCTATCACCGCAGCATCGACGATGAGATGATGATGCAGGATAAAGCCTATAACGCATGGGTGCCCTCACGTGTGCAGTCATAAGAACGGACCATTTGTAGATATGTGAAAGCTGATTTGGGAAAGTTGAGTAGCTAGCTGCTGGCGTGTGTGGTTAAGTGTGGGGGTTGTGACGCACTGAGGCGTGTCAGAATAACGAAAGTTGTCGTTATTGTCGGTAGGCGATTTTAGATTAAACCAAAGAAGTTTACCAAAAATTAGGAAAAAAAAATGAATTTAATAACATTCATTGTTTGTAGTAAATTAAACACCGTTAGTAAGACACAATGACATTATTAACATTTTCTTTTATTTATATATTAATATGTATGTATATCTATTTTAAACTTACTGCTTAATTTATTAAATTATTATTGTATGTATTTTTTAGCTTTGTAAGCTTTAGTTCATAAGCTCAACGGCATAATAAACAAAAAATCACTTGGAACCAAATAATTTTTCAACTTATTTTATTTTCTTCTTATTTTTTATTTATTTCTATATCGTATAAATTAACTTTAGAGAAATTCCCCATTTGTCTGTCTCTTTCTAAAACCGTTATCCGCCTCTTCGTTGATTTCCTTGATGTAGTAACCATGATTTTGATGACTAGCTCCTGGTCTCGTTTGCTGTTGTGGTGGTGTTTTGTGAGTGTTGTGTGTATAGGTTTCTGCAAAGTGTGGCTCTTCGCTTATTATTTCCGTTTCAGCGTAAAGGTGTGGCATGCTACGATGCCATCCCGCCTCGTAGCTATGTCCACCATGTCCACCATGTCCTCCACTACCAATGCTCCCATGCGTTTGACCGGTGACAACGATCCGTTCAGTAGTGCTACCACTGCTGCCAACCGAACCCTTTTTGAGACTGCCCTAAAACGAAACAAGTTTCAATGTCGCTTATGCAAATCAATGCAAAGTTTAAGTGATATAAATATTTAATTAAATAATTACATAGAGGGGAATGGAATTAATCTCTCTGAAAAGAATGGAGTTACTCACATGCTTTGACATAATAAAATTCATTAAAGTGCATAAAAATCTTATTTTAAAATTAAAAAAAAAAATTGGATATAATAACTAACAACTAAAAATAATAAAATTTTCGACGTCTTCAATGAGTTCACCCGATTTTCTCTTCTTCTGTATTGGCGTAGACGCCGCTTCCGCGATTGTGGCCAAATCAGTAATAGCTCGCCATTCATTCCTTATTTTCGATGGTTTAGCTCCGCCTGTCCTCTTCCACCAGCGGGCACTGCATTGAAGACTTTGAAAAATGGAGTAGTTTCATCCATTCGGACCATCATCTGCAGTATCCGCCGTAGCCAATGCCCCATAGGACAATAAATCGTTCGCAAAACTTTTCTCTCGAATACTCCCAAAGTCGATTCATCAAATGTCGACATCGTCCACACTTCTGCGACGGGTATGAAGAGCGTCTTGTAGGGTTTGGTTTTCGTTCGCCGAGAGAGGACCTGTAGCACCTGTTTGTATGAAAGATTCTGCGTGGGATTTCAAGGCTGACGTTAGTAATGATGTTAATGCTGGCCCCTAGATAAACGAAATTACATACAACCTCGAAGTTATGACCGTCAACAGTGACGTGAGAGCCAAGTCGCGAGTGTAGTCGTACGCCAGCAGCTGTACATTCTGATTGTCAGAACTTCACCGACATGCTTGAATAGCTCTGTCGGTATGAAGTCGAATTCAGCCTAGGAATCACTATTCGAACCTCGTCTCGACGAGTAGAACACTATCGTCATATATAAGGATTTCGCGATCAACATCTGCGGATTCTCCATTTTCACTACTATTTAGCAGATTGGAGTAGTGTGCCCCCATAAATTCGGTATACTCTGTGCATCGGTCACTAAATCATCCCTCTGGGTCCCACATAAGTTTCCTCCGATCTTCAAACCTTTTGTAAGCCGTCGCATCTTTTCATAGAATATTCGAGCATTACGCTTGTAGGCCAGCTTCTCAGGTTCTTCATACTCACACATCTCGGCTTCTTTCCCTTTTGTCTGCGGATGTGTCTTGCTTCCCTCTTAAATTTTTTTGTTCCTATCCCAGCCCGCACTGATAGTGGTAGATCGCAATGTTGCGAGTTAGGCAGCATGCTTTCTTTCCACTGTGACATGGCAGTTTCCATCGCCCCAACTGTTTTTGCGACCTTTCCGAAATCCAATAGCTTCGTATGCTGCTGTATGTAGTGCGGTGGGAGTCCCGCACCACAGTTCCCTTATTTACCTCCTCATTACAGTCCTAGCCGGATGAGCCTGCGCCAATGCAATTCAAAAATCAGCTTCTATTTTTCCGTTCTTAACACCAAAAATGGGTGGCCATGAAATAGAACTATATATCTAATTGAAATACTATAAAAACAATACTTCTAAAGTACTTTCACTAAGCTGCTGCTGGTGAAAGATTCCATAAAATCACAAAATATGTTAAAAAGAGTTTTCATTATCAAAATATTATATTTCGAATAATGTATGTAAATATTATTGTATGTTTACTCACAAGTACAGAGATAACAAGCGCAATTTTCGCCATTACGAAGGCGGCGCCCGCGATCAGTATCACTTTGCCGAGGAACATTTGCGCGACCATCGCCACCATCGCCATGCCGCCCATCATAGCCATATTTTTGTCTTTGCCCTTCTTTTTGCGTGCTTTAAGTGAAGTTTCATAAAGTAAAAGTCCTTCTTTAATTTTTTTCTTTTTCTTATATTTGAACTTGTTCTTGTCCTTCTCCTTGTCTTTCTTCTTCTTGATTTTGTCTTTGTCCTTGTCCTTGTCCTTGTCCTTGTCCTTGTCCTTTTTATTTTTATTTTTCTTTTTCTTTTTCATTTTAATTTTCTTTTTCTTTTTGTCTTTGTCGTTTTGTAAGTATATTGTCTCGTCCATATTACTATTATTTGAACTACTACTACTACTACTACTACTAAGAACCGTTAGTTTGTCAATTACTTTTTCTAATTTATCGTCGACAAGTCCATTCAATATTCGAATCGTACCTTCATCCGCTTGCGCCGCCTCCGTCGTCGTGGCAGCGGCCGTCGCAATATTCTCCAAAGTAAATCCATCGATGACATCTGAAATTCCAGCGCCAATTTTATTTAGCGTCTGCTTAGAACTGGGCAGCTTGAAGCGTATCGAACGAGATTTCGCCAACTGCAATAGACTTCCCACAATGCCTAGCTCTGCCTGTGTATGATTGTCCTTCGATAGCAAGGAGCGTTGGTGCTGCACGCGCTGATTTGTGGCTTGTTCTTTCACATGCCCTTCACTCCTGCTACCCGTCAACGGTTCTACGAAAATAGAATCACCCAACTGCCAAGTACTGTTATCTTGTGCAACGACATCGACGTATCGGTTTAATTGTTCCTCGAAACATTTCCACTGCTCCGTTGCGACCAAACAATGGGCGATTGTACGACCGATGCCGCGCAGTGTCATGAACTCGGCTGATGTGCTGTTTGTGTTATTGTTGTGCTCGTGCTCCCTTAGCGGTGTTGTGATGGTTACCGTAATCACACTGCATTTGAGTATGATCAAACATTGCAGAAGCAATCCTGCCACGCACAAACACTGACGGCCACGTGTAAGGGCAGACATACTTATTAATTGGCGTGATTTGATTTTAGAGAGAAATTTCTATTTTATATTTTTTTCTATTCTTTATATTTTTCATGAAAATTTTCTTCGTTTTTCACACATACAACGGTGTTTAGTTTTATTTTTTCACTTATCTGCGGGACACTTGCGCTCGGGACCGTACCCTTGACACTTTTATTCAAATACTAAAAAGATTTCCCTCAATTTGTCTGCATTTATAGGAGTTCTGTACGGGTGGATGCCCACAAACTTTTCATGTCAAACCCAAAAAATGTGGCGAATGAAAGAAAAAACTATGAAAAAAGGTAATGAAAATGAAAAAGTTACGAAAAATGGGAAAATAGAAAAGCAATAAATGTGTAGCAGTGTGAACATTAAGCTGCCGCCAAAGAAAAAAAGAAACAGATATTTATAGAACAGCCAAGTCTGCTGAGCTTAATACAGTCTCTGCTCCAAAAAATGTCAAAACCTTTAATACAAAACAACAACAAAATATGTTAGCCACCACATACACGCTAGCTTTTTATACATATATTTATTTTACATTTCTACACTCACCGCAATTATGGTGTTTGGCAAAGCGGCAAAATGAAAACAAAATTAGAAATTGATTGCCATCTAATCAGCGATGAGACATTGTAGCTTATGGCTGCGACGCTGTCTGGCATGGCAATGCCGTGTAAATATTACGGTAAGTCATTTCGGTTAAATAAATAAGAGTACAAATATTTAGGTATGTACAATATGTATGTCTATGTATGTATTTAATTGTAATTAGAGTTTTGGGGCGTTTAAATTCAAAACTGATTCAAAAGTTTATTTTAGTTGAAGCTTTTTTATATGCATTTTCAAAGCTCTAAATTTGCGTTGTCTGCATTTTTAATTAGATTTGGGTGGCCTGCGCTGAGCCTATTAGGAATATCTCAAACAACTTGCAAGCTTTAAGAAATATATTCATTGATTAGTTGACGAAAAATTGTTTAAAATTAGAAATAAATTTAAATTCCTTATGCTGCGTCTCGAAAAATTGGCAGAAATAGTGCCACACAGGAATCAATTTACATTTGAATATATAATATATATGAGGTGTGTTCAAAAAATAACGCAAATTTTTTTATTCGGATTTTCTAAAATTTATATTTAACATTCTTTTGATGTAAAAATATGTCTTGAGGTTTAATGAAATTTTCATCAAGGAATTGAAGCTAAAGTTCTATAAGTGCGATTGGATTACGCTAGATGGCGTAGAAAGATGATATTTTGTGCTAAAAAGAATAACGGTTGCGTGAAGCGTGAACAAAGCTCTTTGCTTAGTCTACTCTGATTAAAGCAAGAGTGTGCGAATGGTATAAGTTTTTGTATGTCCCAGCTTGTGAAACTCTAAAAAAAAAAAATAAATGGTTTTGGTTAGCGATAACCTAGTCATAATAAGACAAGGCGCCGACGATTAGTTACGAAAGACGTGACAGCAAAATTTCTTTCAAAATTATTAAATTTTGAGCCAAAACAGTGGCGAATGGAAATTGCTCGGGTGTCACTAAATTAAGCCAACGACAAAGTAATATTACAACTATAACGTTGAAACTAAGGCTCAATCAAAATGCAGTGGCGGTTTTGTGATTCGTCAATACCGGAAAGTATTGTTTTTTTACTTTTGATTGCATATTGAATGATGAACTCCTATCACCATTTGTAGCTGGTCAATACCACCACTACTACAACAGACAGCACTACCCACAAATTCCACGCCTGGATTTGCGGAAGAACATATCTTGGCTTTTGGATCACAATACTACATCGGTTCCTTTCAGTTTAGTTGGATGAAGTTATCTGTAAGATGATGATGGGAGGGCCCAAGGCATAATCGCTAAATGGAACTAATGGAAAGACGATAACATCAGCGTCGGAGAAGAAATTTATAAATATTTGTGCATTTTGTCCAATACCGTGATAATCAAAGCAAAGAGACAACTTTAGCTGGACTTTATATGGACATTGACCTGGTTTGACTATTTCGGTTTTGCGTCAGTTAGAAAACACATTTTCTAAGCGTATTGACTAATTTGCATATTGATCTCGCAAACCTGTGTTTCATCACCAGAAACGATGAATGTTCGGTCGCAATCGACCCATTCTAGGTTGTCTGCAGCGATCGATACGAATATTGAGTTCTTAAAGAAAGTTCCCATATTTCGTTTCAAGTTCAATCCTATGTATAAAATGATATCTCTTTCAAACATAAATACTGACTTTTAGTCCCCATTGCCAATATCTCTACCATGCTAACTGCAGTAGCAGACCTTCAGTATCTTCCATCGCATTTCGATCGCTTATGAAAAATTAATCAGGGGATATTTTTTGATCGTAATACCCTTAAAAAGCCTTCCTATGCACCAAATATCAAGTAAAAACCACATACAAATTTTTATTGAATAGGTCTGTCCCTGGTCCACTTTCCGAACACAGTCATCTTGTAAATATAAGTGCGGGAACCCACCTACGTACCGAGGAAGGGAACTTTTCGTGTGCGCTCTTTGGATTTCCAGTATGACATTAGCAGTTAATATATAGAAAGAACAATGGTGATTGTTTTTCGACTCTTGACAATTTTACGGTACTATTTTTTTTGCTGTTATTTATTTTGTGGACTTTTTCTATTTTCTATTTTACAAGGACAAGCCAGGTCATAATGCTAGCACTATTTTAGACGACTTTTGCTATTATTTGCTTAAGAGAAATATTCGATGGCACTTTGCTCATTTCATAAAAATAGCGGTCCCACGATCTGTGATGATCGGTGATTGTCAATTCGCGTGGTGAGCTACGCCTTCTAGGAAGTCTGCATTTTGCATCTATCGTCAGTCCAGACAGTAAAAATTTCCAAGTTCTAGACGATTTCGAATTTTTAGGAATCAACATCAGCACCCACCATAGTCTCAGTTTTGCATTGGATGAGATGGCATCGGAAGTTTATGAGAAAAATGTTTTGTGGTATTTTGCAGCTTTGAGTTTTTTCCACACAGTATGCGCTGTTGGAATAAAGGGAGAAGGAAGATCTCTACCCCAGTTGAAAATACAAGTGATTTATTCAATTTGTGTTCCCAAACAATGAAAAAGAAAAGAATTCGTGCAGTTGGCGCCTTGGACAGTCCAATGTTACGAATAAGCCTTCGTTGCGCCAGAACTGAATAGTCTCGTGGTGGAGATGACTCTTATTGCAGTAATTTAATTAGCAGATTTTGTGGAATGAATGCGATTTCCAAGGCACCTAGTATGGTGAACATCACGCTAACGTTCGTTCGATACTTACAAAAATTTTTGAACTTGCCTTAAACACAATTTGAGCTACCCTCTTAGCTCTAGAAAGCTTTGCTATTTTAAACTAATTTCCTAAATAAAACTCAACTTAATCATATTCCTATTTTAATAATTATTTTAACTAATTTTTAAAAGTGTCATAATTATTTACATAAAAGATAATTAAATTAATGAGTTATACAGATTTACAAACTGTAGCGCGTCACACGCACTCACACCCGTAGATCGACAACTTTCCAGCCATTGTTTTCCTGATTCGTTGTCTTGTAGTTAGCGAGTTTCACCTCGCCCTCATCATCATCATATGCACTCGGTCCCAGTTTACCGTTGGTTGAGCGCAGCTTTCCACTTCTATTGTGTATCATGGCCACCTGCTTCTCATAGTCGTAAAAGCGGTCAGGCGCGGGCGTAGTTGCGGTCACCGTTGCACGTGTTGCATACTCACGCGTTTTTTCGAAGTTTACAACCTTTCGATCATTGCGCTTATAGGGCGAGTGATGATGATGCAGTTCATCGTTGTCATAGTGATGGCTGAAAGTACCCGCCTTCGCGGGTATATAACCGTCGGCGGCACCGTATGCATGTGGACCGAATGGTCCGAGCGGTAAACCGCCACCACCAGCGCCGGCGCCGCCGAAAAGTCCGAAACCACCAAAGCCACCAGCACCAGCGCCAGCACTCAGCGCAGTTAAAGCACCGCCAACGCCTAAAAAGCTGCTTAGGTATATAGCGAATTTGGCTAAGAAAAGCGACTTCTTCAGCAGCAAGCAGATGCCGGCGAATACAAGCGGTACCAGTGCGACTAAGTTGAATTTAAGACCAAGCAGAAACGGCAGCAAATATTGTTTGGCTAAGAGGCGAGCTTTAAGTTTACGGTGTTACGTTTTCCGTTGAGTCGAATTAAAAGTATTTTGTTAATATTCAGTTAAAGCTCACTCAAAAGCTGAGCTTACCTGTGCTGGGTTCTTCATAGCCAAAGTTACGCTCAATAGCGGCCGGATCGAGCACGAACTGCGCCACACTATTCGCATCGGCGGTGGGACCAATTTTGAACATCAATCCGGGATAAATGGCATCCATATGCCACTCAAGCCCACGTTGACCCATTACGGCTCCAGCATTTTCCAATATGCCTCTGAATAATTAAATAATATATTAATAAAAATGAATAAATTATAAAATGTAAATATTTATATTTATAATAAATCAAAGGTACGTCGATATACAATTTTGACTCGAAGTATGGGAGGAACAGAAACATAAAAGGTGTATTCAACGTAGTAAAAAATAGTCCATTATTTTTGCAAAAGATGGCGTTAGTGAGCTGTATGTTCTATTAAAGCGATTGGACTACACTATACGGATTTGGAATGATAATATTTTGTACTACAAAAAACCTCATGAACTCAATAACTACCCATATTTGAAGCGAATGGTAACTGGTAATGAAAAGTAGTCCACTTACAACATCGTTAAATGAAAACGCTCGTGGTCAAAAGGAAAGGCATTGAGCCAGCACAACTGGCTTACAGGCCAGGGTGGTTTTGTTGTTTGTTTGGTGGGATTGACAAAGAATCAGCCACTACATATAAGCAACTCGCCCACAGCGAAAATCTCGGCCTATACTATTAGCAAATGCAACGGAGCTATAGTCCAGGACCGCCCAGCTTTGACCAACAGGTGGGGAGCTGTGTTTCTTCAGGGCAACGCCAGATCACACACATCGATAGCGACTCGCCAGAAGCTCCGGAAGCTTAATTGAGAGATTCTTATACTCATATACACGAGAGAAATTTGTCAGAAGAATAATATATCATTCGAATCGTAAAAATCAAATGGCTAAACACAAATTATTTCAACTTAATTGAATCTGTGTGAACAGCAACTGTAGTTAGCCGAATTCAAGTTCAGTAGTTTGAGCAAATTTTGGTTGGAAACACACTGATTTACACATCCGGCAGCCATAGTTGAGTGGTTAGCTTTATATATTGCCATTCGGTGGGCTCTTTTTTGAGTCCTAATGCGACCAACATCAATTTTATTGAAATAAAAAATTTAGTTAAATTTTTGGATCGTCCATTGGCAGAGAATGTCAACCACTTTGAGTGCTTTCCCGAAATGAAATAAAAAAGTTCCTCAAAAAAAAAAAAATGCTTTTTATCCTAACCTCAAACCCAATATTACATTTTCTTATTTTGAATATTCTTACCAACTGTAGATTATTTTCACCTTCACTTTTATAGCATAAAAAAATGTATATTTTCATTTCTAATATTAACTTCAATTATTTTTAAGTTTTATTCACCTAAAATCCACTGGATCGGTATCCAAGAAATTCACCAATGAACGGCCTGAAATTTTGTCATCTTTCGTAGAAACCAGATCGCTGAAGAGTGTATAATTATCCTGTTCGTCGAAGCGTTGTATGAAATTAATAGCCGTACGACCGATACACTCGCGTAAGCTCGGATGCTGTGACTGACGCATGCAATAACGGAATTGATCGAGCTCGCGCGTAGACGATGGGTCGACATTTGTAACGGCTTGCGCAAAAGGCGAGTACAAAATCACAGTCAATAATTGATAGACTAGAACGCAATTCTCCACAATCCTGCTTTGGAAGTGCATTTTAATATACTCGTATTTTGATTCTTTTGTTATTTTTCACTTGTTTTCGTCCCTTTTGGTTAGCCCGTGGTGTAGGCGTTCGAATAACCGCTTTCCAACTGAACGGGTCAGCTGCTTGGTCAGATGGATTTATAGCTTGCGAATGGTGGCTTGCGGTATCTAGCAAAGTATGAATATTTATTTCAAACACACAATTACCTACATATGTATCGCGTGCAGTTGCTGAAATTACCTCACTTGGCCGAAAAATCAACGTCGCACTACGTCGTCTGCAGTAAAATCAAGCACACGCACACACACTTTTAGACACACCGCCACACACATTGTCACACCCACACTACATACGGCATACGGAGATCAGCTTGTGGATTTTCGCACATTAAAACCGTAATATCATCAAAACCGAATTTTCGGAAAATGAAAGAAAATGAAGAAGAAAACAAAAACTGGCAAAAGCCAAAGGTCTGTGGTACAAACAGACAGCAGCAGGTGAATACGTCGACGTCCAATAAGCCGGTCGTTTGTTACACCAATGCGGTTGTGCATACACGTAATAAAGATATGTGTGTGTACTTTGCGTAGAAATGCTACTCATACTCCACGGCCATGGTCAGTGCACGCTGTTAGCTTCTAAATACGTAAATTAACATGAAATCTTTTTTTGTGAATTTTTGAATTTTCGCAGCTTTTCGCACTCGTCCGTCGTTCAGCCGACTTTATAGCCATTATGTAAGCTTGTTTTCATTATGGGTTTGTGGGTGTGCAAAAAAAAATATCTATGCTTGTGTGTTACTATGTTTCGCCGGTCGATCTGTTATGCATTCAGCACAGATTTTTACCTAATGATAAATGAAAAGAGCAAAAGTTATGAAATTTGCAGCAGCTGTTAGCGATGTGTGACTTTCATCAAAAAAAAAAAAAAAAAAAAATTTAAAAAAAAATAAGAGCCACCAAAGCGATTTTCTATACAAACAAACAAACACAACTCGTCTTCTTGTAGGTGTACTACTGATGATATTTGGGGCGTTGAAATTAAGCGTCTCTCCTCAGTTTACAATATGCGGACATAAAACATTTCTGTGGAAGCGCATTTGCTTACGTGTTGTTTAGCATTTGCTTTGTTACATATATATATACACGTATGTATGTTTGTACAGAGATTTAATATTTTTAACACTTTAATGACAACTTTTGTCAAATAGGCTTATTATGGTTAATGCCTTCCAGGTCTAATTAAATACGCAAAATTAAATATATACATATATATAAACTTAAATACATATATAATTGGCACTTTGTAACCGCCAAAGCGATTTTCGGTGTACTGGTGATGATATCTGCGGCGTGGAAATTAGGCGTTTTTCCCCAGTTTACAATATGCGGACATGAAATATTTCTGTTTGCCCACCGAATGGAGGAGCCTACAGTTTATACTAAGCCGCCTCCGAACGGCGTCTGCTGCGTCTTAATATTTTTCGAACCGATGGAAGGCCTACGGTTTATTCTACTCATAAGCTGCCTCCGAGCGGCCGATGGATTTTTATGAGCAGCTTTTATTTTATGTTAGAAAGAGACTTCCTGCTTTGGGGCGAGCGCATATCGAAAAACTAATTTTCTATAATTTTGAATGCTTGTCAGATCAGGAATCGAACCCTGGCCCTTCTATTAATAATGTGTACTGCTTATTAACCGCCTATTGTGGCCGCCAAAGTTAAATATCAATCAATTGAGACCGAAAATACCAATTTGACTCAAATTATTGTGGCTGCGGTTGCCCCGAAAAAATTTTTATTGCGGAAAGTGATAAAGAAGTTACGGTGTTAACGATGTATTTGAAAAAAAATGTATTAATTGTACGATTTAATGGAAATTTCCTACATTATATATTTCCGTTCTGCCTCTTCTTTACTGGCGCAGACATTGTTTTCGAGGTAATAGACTAGTAAACAACAGTCCGCCATTTCTTCTGTCTCTTCGATATTTGGCGCCAATTGGAAATATCAAATACAGCCAAGACCTTATCTACCTGGTCTTTCCCACGAAGTGATGGTCTTCCTCTTCTACAGCTTTCATCCAAGGGCACTGCGCTGAAAACTTCCAAAGCTGTGCCATATGATCTAAGCAGTATAGCTGCTGACTCTTGATACTATGATATATGTCAAGTCAGTTGTTCTATAGACTGTAATACTGGACGTTTTTAATGCGGGATGGATGGCAAATCTTAGTTGGAACCTTTCTCTTAAAAACTTTTAACCAGGATTCGCCAGATGTTGTCATCGTTCATGCAGCAGCAGGACGGGAATCATAAGCGATTTAAAGGATTTGGGTTTTGTTCTTTGGGAGGGTACTTTGTTTATCAATTGCTTACCCAGTCTGACCAACTCTGCTCTGGATTCCAAGGCTGATATTCTTGTTGATAGTAAAGCTGATTCTAAGATAGAGGAAATTATCTACGTCTTCAAAGATATGATTATGAATAGACAGAAGATATTCCTTATTGTCTTCGTTCACTATCAGACCCATTCGCTTCGTTTCCTTATCTATGTTAGAGGAAGCAGAACACACCGCCGTAAAAATTTTGCTTTAAGACAACGAAGACGCGGTGTGTGTCGACCATTGTTTCACGGGTCTTTACCAAGATTTGGCCCATGGTAAATATCTGGGCAGAGGTGAGTTTGCCACACTGATAAGATCCGATTTGTTTGTTGACAGTAAACTTTGGTCTTTCACACTTTTGTCTCTATAAGACTTTATATGTCGACTCTGTCGGTGTATCAATAGCTCCAGCCGCTCGGTGTTCTTTAAGCAGGCAATCGTACCTTGTAATAGTCAGGTAATGGAATGTCTTGCCCATCATAATCGAATGGGGTTTCGTCAACATATCCTGGTGTCCTATTTTCACTGCCATTCAACATGCTGCATGAGTTTTCCCCCCAAGCAGCAAGTATGCTCTGGACATCGGTAACCAGATTACCTTGGTTCATACATGAGTGTGTTCCAAGTTCTTTCTTTGTTAATAATAGAACTAGTCTAGTTTGAGTCATTCATTCAATCTAATCTAATTTCAGATATGAAGTAGCAAAAACAAGGAAAAAAAATTGAATAAGATCAAATTGGCATTTCTGTGGTTACATAATCAAACTTCTGCTAGATTCATATGGTTGCCAAGAAAATTACTCCCATAAATTTGCACTGCTGCGACATAAACCGATTTCTTGAAATCAAATCTTAATTAAGTTAGGTTAATATGTAATAGTTAGTGATATATCATGCCGGATTCACTTAGGTCTGACTAAGACTCATTGGGATGCCACAAAAACGTGGCCATCAGGCTTAAATATTCAGCCATTTTGATTTTCTAATGAGCCTCATTAGGTCCATGAATATCCTTTATCTTCGATAGACCATTCAGCAGTAGGGTCCCAAAATTGCGAAATCTACCGCCGCTCTAAGCAAGACAGTCGCGTAACAGATGGGTAATCGTTTCCTCCTCCTCATCTTCCTTGCAGCTACTGCAGCATTTTCTATTATATTGAACCCCTGGTCCTCTATGTGTCATCCTATCAGACAGTGGCCAGTACTACTTTTACTTTAAACATGTCTATTTTATTGAAGGAGTACATTTGTCGAGGTCTCTTCTTATCCCATTGCGTGCTGATGCGCCAGCATTTGCAGCTTGTTCATATGTGAGTTCCTCGAGAAGCAGCTGCCAGCTAGTGTCGAAAGGCATACAAATGCATTTTTTTATCGGAAAGTAACTGCTTGGTCGTACCTTGTCTAACAAGTTCGTTCACCTTACAGTTTCACTCGATGATCCTGTGACGAGGCACCCACGTACGAGACAGTCTGTTCAGTTTGGCTATCCCCATTAATTTGGTATTTAGCATAAGCGAGCCTATGATTTTTTTGCTGCCTAACTGTCTCTGAAAATGAACATATCCTTATCCTTAAAGCTGGCTCCGATTTGGCTTGCATCCTCCATGATATTAGATATCTGCGCCAGAAAACACTACTTCCATCGGAGCGCTCCCTGAGAAGACACGGTCGCTAACTCTCCCCTCCTGTTAATATATATTTGCCCGGCTCTCACTTCATTTTCATTTACTTTTGGAGATTCTAATTACTATTTTCAAAATATTTTTCTTTTGATCTAAGTCAACCACTCGCAAAATTAATGCTGATTCTATTATTAAAGTGCTCGTAATCGCTTCATTTCCAAAACTAACACAAGAGTAATTTAACAAATATTTAACTGCCAATTTGACCTTGCATTATTTCAATCATACTCGGTAACTAACCGTACTGTGAAAGATAAGTATTTGTTGTTGTTGTTGTCACTGAAATTTTTGTAATCTAAGGCACATACATACTGACTACACCCGTTGCACAAACCTCCAGCTTAATGACATCATTATAAGTTTGTATTCATAAAAAGTAAACAGAAAAAGCAAACAAAATTTATTTTCGGCCTTTCAATATTCTCCAACGCCATTATAAGGAACATTAGCTGGTGACCCAAGAAAATGTTGTTACATTAAGTGTTATTTAGTTTATAATGTTTGCACCTTTTAAATTTGATAGCAGTGTGTGCATCTCAAGGATGACTTCGGCATTACTTGGGTTCAAAGGCATGTGAGTTCGTAATGGTATGTGTGCGTACAGATGTATGTTGATGGTTAGGATACCTGTGTCGTTGGCTTGGTCCACGTGTTGAACTTTGACAGCAGAAACTCATCTGTTAGTGTACATAAATAAACACATGCGAATTCACATAAACGGTTTGGATTAAAGCGTAAATGGCAATATGTTCACGAATATACACACACATACACACACACACACAGTTGGTGTTTATGTCTGCCTTCAACTCAAATCTTAGTAAATCCAGGTGCTTTGAAATATTTACAGTCTCTGTCAAATGCTGATTAAGAAGCGCGTAAACCTAAATAAATGTCTTTATTTTGTCTGAAGTTTATTTTTAGTTCAGAGGGCAAGGACAT